TTTTAACTGTTTGTAGAGGCTGACACAGTCCAAAAGAATACCACGGATCTCTTAACACCAAACCAAACCAATTAGGTCTAAGAGTTAACCTCATAAAGTCTGAATATGAATACAATGCTAGCTAATAAGGCCAACATCAGCTGACATGGCAGGGGTATTTTGCATGCTCCCTGACCATAAACCCCCTTTTAACCACAGGCTATCGTTTTATTTTGGGGTTTTTTTGGGAGACAGAATTTCACTATGTAGTTCAGGCTGGCCTTGAACTCAACTTTTGTAGCCCAGGCTGGCCTCAAACTCTCAAGTGATCCTCTTGTCTCAGCCTCTCCAGTGCTAGGCTTAAAGGCATGCACTACCATGTCCACTCAGGCCATTTTACATGTATGATCATCACCCTGAGGCTAAAAAATAAGACCCTAAAATGGGATCAGGGGCTTTATGTTCATATAAAAACAAGCTATGCAATAATATCACAACATTAAACACCAGACTAATTTATTAGTAGTTCATCTCCTCAAAACTAGTTTTTCTAGTATTTCCTCACTTTAGCAATTAAGACCAACCGTAATTCTTTAGCACAAAAGCACTGAAATGGGGGCTGGGGATTTAGCTCAGCGGCATAAGCGCCTGCCTTGCAAGCAGGCAGTCGTGAGTTCGATCCCCGGTACCGATAAAAAGGAAAAACAAAACAAAACAAAACAACAAAAAAACCCCAAAATAATTGTATGTACTTCCTAAAATCCAAAGTGATTTGAACTTAAAAAAAAAAAAAGACAAATTTTCTCTGCTCTACATAAACCTTTTTTGGGGGGCGAGGGGCACCTTTTTGAGACAGGCTTTCACTATACAGTTCAGGCTGGCCCTGAACTCATTTTATAGTTTAGGCTAGCCTCCAACTTGGAAGGATCCTCCTGCCTCAACCTCCAGTTTGCTGGGATTACAGTATCCACAACCAAGCCTGCCTGGCCTCCTGTATTTATTTTATAATGTACATCAAAAGGGATCAAAAATTGATCCACCAAGGTATTTACAAGCAGTGGAAAAAAAAAAATCAACCAACAGATCAGACAAAAGCTGAGACATTTTCACAGCAGTATGAATTAAAGTTAGAGGTTTTAAACTTTTTTTTACAAAGACAACTAATTATTTTAAAAACGTAATTATTTCCCCTGCACATGAATATATATCATGCTCAATGTTTGAATACAGTATTGCCGTTAAAACAGAACAAAAGAGTCCTTTCTTTTCCAGTCAGAAAATTCCTCACCCAAAAGCAACTGGTGACATCTCAGTTCTTGGAAAAGTTCTTGCCATGCAATTCAAAGCCTGCCTCAGGATTTCCTAGCCTGGCCTCAGAGTGTGTGGCTAAGTCCATCTCTTATAAATTGGCTTGTGTTTCTACTACCCTGTACTTCATACACCAACTTTCCTTTGTTTGTACACCCTTAGCTCAGAACTCTGAATTAACATCATAAAATCAACTGCCCTAAAGGTATCTAAAATAGAAAACAAATGAACAAATAATTCCCCCAAAACCCTAAACAATCCATTCAAGTCACTTCTTGAAGCATCTTCAACAATGCTTTGTGACACATAAAATTAAATGTAGAAGTAGTGGTGCAGGCCTGTAATTAACTCCAGCACTGAGAAGTTAACAGAAAAGATCTCAAGTTCAAGGCCATCCGGCCCAACTTAGTGAGATCCTCTCTCAACATAAAAAATGGCTTGTGGATATAGCTTAGCGCTAAGGCCCTGGATTCAATCAGTATAAGGGTGGTGGTGGGGGGACACATAATAAATGCAGGGTCTGGGGACGTAACCCAGTGGTAGAGGACTTGACTAGCACACCCATGGCCTAGGTTCAAGGGCCCCAGCAATAGAAATGACCACCCCTTCCAATCCCCTTTCCATTAAATGTAAATTGTCTTTCACAAAACAAACACAATGAAGTTGAAAACCAAGTATTTCAACCTACATTTTCTGAGATTTTTATATGAAAAATGACTTAAAATCACTGACATAAATTCAATGTTTGTAAGAAGACTTACAAAATAGTAGTTATGTAAAACATAAAACTGAATGGGGCTAGATATAGTGGTACCTGTAATCCCAGCACCTGGGAGGCTGAGGCATTAGGATCACTTTGAATTGAAGCCGTCTGGGTTACTAGAAAATTCAAGGCCACTACATAGTGAGATCCTCTCTCAAAAAACCAAACAAGAAAATCCCAAACCAAAACAACTGATACGGGACAACTAATGATCCCAGGTCAGTGTGAAGCCACAGGATTTGGTCCTACACTGGAGGGCAGGAAATTTTTTTCGTGAGAATTTATTTATAGCACACAATGTGGCCTCAAACAAAACTAGGAATACATTATGCTCAGATTATTTAACAACCAATTGTGTTTGTTATTAATTTCCAAGGATGCAGTTGAAATTGTTACTAAAAACAGCACAGTTTGAGGAGATGGGTTGTGATGCAGGGCCTCTTTGGAGTGCTAGCAATAGCCTACTGCTTGATCTGAATAATGGTTGTTTACGAGTTTGTTTTGTAATTGTGTAAGCTGGACACATGCTACATATAGTGGGAACTTTTCTATGTGATTATAGGTGAACATGCTACATATAGTGGGAACTTTTCTATGTGATTATAGGTGAGGGAGGGGAAAACATGTTAACACTACTGAAGGCAGCAACTCAAACATTTTAGGTCAGTCACTTCCCAACCTGTACTTACTGATTTAGGGTGTCAGACTACATAATGCATTAAAATCAGCATGTGGTAACTTTGCTGGGACCAAAATGCTTTGCTTTTGGGACCAGAAGGGCGCAAGAAGCTTTTAAAAGGTCCATCTATTCTCTCACATTTTGCAGGAAAGTAAACTAAAGTTCAGATAACATATATGAGTCCCCGAAGCTCCACGAGCGTGGACTACTACTGTTGTCTATGTAAGCCACACTTGTAATTTTAATTTAGTAGATGGTTACCAGCAAAGAGGGTTTGAGTAAAGATGACTGAAAAGTCATATCCATCCAGCTACATAAAAAATTTCAGTGTAAACACTTTGTCTCCTCAGGCTGTAGTAGATAAGATGAGGGTGGAAAGGGGACAGGAAGACTAGAATCTCGGGAGTGTTCCTTTTAGGAGCACTGCAGGTAGCCTGGCAGCAAGAGCCTACTTTCACTTGTTTACTGACCACACAGATGGGGAGAGTTCTTAAAATTGTCTTTCAGTTGCTAGAAACTGGAGTCTTCCCAAATTAAAATTCTGAAGGGCTCAGAGCCTTCTCTGTTTTGTCCTCTCTCTCTCAATGCCTCCAAGGCCTGGAACCACGCTAGTGAAGGAATACCCCCAAAGGCAAAAAAGCTCCACCCTGCCAACAATCCCGTGCCAAACTGTAAGATGAAAGTTAGGCTATCCAGTACTCACAAACGCTGCAGGCAGTAAGGCCCACCCTATCCATATCATTCTAGAGTTCCCACACTGGGCTTTCTTTTGAAGTCCTGTTTTTGCTAGCTTTTACCGGTCCACTAAACAAACAAGCCTGTAGCCAAACGCAAGCAAATACAGATGTGTGATGCCACGGTTCATACATAGGCTCGAGGTTTTTATTCCTCCTAAGTTAAAGAGACTAAAGAGTTCTCTCTGGTAAGATTTCTGGCCTCCAGGGCTGGGGATTTAGCTCAGCGGCACAAGCGCCTGCCTTGCAAGCAGGCAGTCGTGAGTTCGATCCCTGGTACCGATAAAAACAAAAAAGACCAAAAAAAAAAAATAAAAAAAATAAAAAAAAAAAGAGATTTCTGGCCTCCAGATCCCGGCTGGCCTTATACAACTGATCTTCCTTGGCGTTTACTGAAAAAGAGCCTTGGGAAGTCACATAATTGCTTTTTAGGGAAAGAAGAAGGTTAAACAAGACGACGAAAAAGAAATCCAAAGGGGACAGCAGATTTAGGGGAAAGCCAGAAGTCTGGGTAACCTACGCTTTAAGGCCAGGCTGATATAAATTGGGTTTGGGGCGGGAAGGCACCCGGCCGACTAGACCTGATGGATGAGGGGCCCGCTCAGAAGCTGGAGCCTCGCACCACCCTAGACTCGATGGCCTGTGTTTTCCCCTAGTTTTCTCCCTGAGAAAAAGTCACCCTGGAGCTAGGCCCACTAGCCCTGGAAAGTGAAGAGTGGAGGGTCACAAGGGGTGCGGGGCCGGGGCTTCTTGAGCCACCTTATGGACCCCCTCCTGCTTTCGGGGTCACGGGCTCGAGGCCATACGTTTACTAAGCTTCACGCGGGACCTCAGAGGCCGCAGGCCCCGCCCACGTGGCGGGCGGCCGGGAGCGCAGGGGCCGACGATCGCCACACAATGGAGGCCAAAGCAAGACCTGAGCGCCCCGCCACCGCGAGACCCCGCGCGCCGGAAGGTTCCAGAACCCGCCCGCCCGACGGGGGAGGGGAAACGAATGCGCCCCCCCCCCCAGCTCGTCGGGCCGCGGCGGGTATCTCCAACCTTTCTCTATAACTTCAACCAACTGTCTTGGCCACACCCAAGGGCGAACAGTCCCCAGTTTCAGGGGCCCGGCCCTCGCTGGCCGAACCGCAGTTCCATCACACTCACCCGTGGACGCCATTTTCTCTCCTTCCTCCTCGTTCTCTCAACGTCCGTCACCTCTCGCTTTCCCTCTAAGCGCCGCACTGCGCAGGCCCGAAACCCGCAACCTCGGACGCTACCATTGGTCCAGGCCACTGGGGGGGTAGAAGAAAGAAGGATGAACCACCAATTTCTTGCTTTCACGCCTGAAATTGTTGTCCCAATCCTTTCTAAAGTGTACCACACGTGACGCGAGGGACAAAACAGCACTTTAAAGGCTGAAGCGCCGGTAAGCGGGTGTCAGCATCGAACCGAAGCGACTAGCCGCACGAGGCTAGGTCGTTCGGAATGGTTACGTCCACTAACTCTAGGGACTGTCTCTGAAGTGTCTGTCCGGGAGGAAAACGGAGGCCGGCGGGAGGGTTGGGGGGAAGGGATCTGGGCCTAGAACAACTGCTGACTAATCGGCGGGTAGCGCGGGATTGGGAGGGGGTGGCGCGCCTGTTGGTCTGCCAGGGTCACGCGCCTTGGTGTGCACGCAGTGGGTTTGAGGCACCTTGGCGTTCGACCAGAGTGCTGACTCCCAGCGGGGGGTCCCACCTGGCCTTCCGGGTAGGTGGGCATACTCCGCAGTGAGTACCTCGAATAAGTGCCTGGACCGGCGAGGGTGGGGGCCTAAATCGGTCGGTTGGGTGGGAGGTCTCGAACGTCGTGCCCAGCCCCCCCCACTCACCCCCTCCCCACCTCACAACGGTCGGACTTGAGAAAGACCTTTAATCACCTCTCTTCCAATACCCTTGTTTTAACAGAAGTGGAAACTGAGGCCCAAGAAAACTGAGGACTTTTTCCAAAGTCACAAAGCTGAGTTCGACTTAGATCCTGGAATCCCTCCCACCCCCAACCACCATCCCAAAGTCTTCCTGTGCTTGACTTCCTATTCTATACTCCTGGCTTCCCAGCAAGGTAGGCAGGGCCTGATGGTGCACAGCCCCATTTTAGAAATCCAGAGGTTTCAAGGCACAGTTCTGTGTCCCTAGGCAAGTCTTTTACGATTGCTAAGGTGCACGAGGTAGGGGTGGGAGGGATTATGAGGATGCAAGAGGAAGCTTGCAGTGGGTGTCTTGGCCCCAGGCCCTGCCGCAAGCAAGGTGGTACCTGCCCACTTTGCTTAACCTCAGCCTAGCTCCACCAGTGGGTGCAAGGGCCCGGTGAAGGACAGGGCTCACCTCAACTTCCTGAGCTGGGCCAAGAACCAAGCAGTGTTTTTAAGTGAACCATTAAAAATCACTGACTCTGGTGGGGAATTTGAGAGTAAGGAGTGCCCCATGCCCACTCAGACCACCTACCAACTGAGATGGACCAACTGCTCAAAAGACCAGGCTCTATGATGTAGGAAGGGTAAAGGAAGGGGACATTTGAATTGGCTTCAAAGAATAAGTAGGTGCTTGTCTGCTGGAAAGAGAGAGAAAGACATTGTAGGCAGGAGATTCCCACATTTTTCCTTTGGCAAGCAAACAGCTTTATTTTGCTGGGACCCTGAATCAGCAGGAGCTCTGGGACAAAGAGGCCTGGCCAGGGGTGAAGGGACTCCATCAGGGGCTGGAAGACAGAATGGATGTCAGGGAGAACAGAGGAAGAAAAGCTTTGCTTCGTGGACAGGGAATAGCCGTGTTGGGGGCTGGTGCTTCAACTAACTAGTCCTTTTTTGAGGGGGACTCAACTCAGGACTTTGTGCTTGCCAGGAAACCAGCTAGTCTTTGAGCAGCCCATCTCTATACTGAGGCTGGGCCTTGATGAGTGGGCCAGGTGATGGCTACAAATGCCTCCCATAGTCAGTAGGGTGGTTATAATTTATTGAGCAGGGGCTGTACGCTGGGGCCAACCTTAAACTTTTCTTTTTTTCTCATCATCCTATGAGGAAAAGATTTTCTTAATTCTCAGTTCACTGATGCGAAAGGAGAGATGCAGAGTTTGGGAAACCTGCCTAGGAACATATAGCAGAAAGGGTTAAGAGCAGAGAGTAGAACTTTCCTGTGAAAAGGGAGGCTAGGGTCGGGGGGCTGTGCTCAAGGCTGAGGAAGATGCTCAGGTATGGGTCTCCAGCTGCTTTTTTTTTTTTTTGAGACAGGGTCTCACTATGCAGTTCAGGCTGGTCTTGAGCTCACTTTGTAATCTAGGCTGGTCTCGAACTCGAAACCATCCTCCTGCCTCAGCCTCCCAAGTGCTGGGATTACAGGAGTGAGCCACCACACCTGGCTCAGCTGCCTCTTCTAACCATTACCCCATTGAATGCTTGCCCATTGGATGCCCGTGGCTCCTTGGTCTAGGGCAACTGAGGCCACTGGAACCTTAAAGCTGAGTGCAGTGGCAGGGAAGAGGAGGATGGCAGCCTAAGGCAAAGAAGAAGCAGAAGATGGCTAGAGATGGCCCTGAATTGGCCCTGAGCAGGAATGGCAAACCTTTCAGAGGCCAAGTGCCCGTACTGCAACTCCAGACCCATTTAGTTATCACAAAGTGCCTACATTGCAATTAAACCTGAATACTGAGGTTTTTAGTTTAGAAAAAATAGCTCACACTTCTTTGTGTGTCCACTGTGGCACTTGTGCAGTAGGTTTGCCATTACTGCTGTAGGGGCTTATACCCCTCTTTCCATTAGTCCAGGGCTCTGGTTCAACTTTCCTAGCCCTACTCCTCTTATCTGAGACTTCTTCAGTTTCCACCCTCACAATGGGCAGATGGCTAATGAACACATGGGCTAGGGTCTAACCATTGTGGCCACGCTGCCTCTTCAACCTGTTTCTTCTTCTGTTAAATGAAGCTGTTGGTAAAGTAGCTGAGGGAATCAGTAAGGGAAAGCTGCAATAATAACTGTTGGTGTTTTCTTTCAGCAGCAGCACACAGTCCTAGGACCACCTTGACCATCCTCAATCAAACAAACCATGCATACGAGGGGGTCTCCTCGCCTGCTGTTTCCAGCGCTGCCTCTTGCCTCCTCTGTCTTGATGCTGCTGATGACTAGCCTTTGGCTGATGGGAGCTGGCCCCAGCCTCACCCTGGCCCCGGAGTTGCTGCTGGACCCCTGGCAGGGTGAGGGCCAGCCTCCGAGACCTCATAGATTCAGACATCGTAGACTGGAGATGTGTAGGGCCTGAGACTAGTTGGTGGGAACAGTACATACTCTGCAGTGGTCAAGCAGGAATGAGATCCAGTGTCATCGGGGTAGTAACGGGGTTCAGCCTTAGAAATGAGCCTGGCTGGTTCATCCACAGCCAAGAAAGAGGGCAGAAGACCTAGCAGATGGGCCAATAGATACTATTTTTTGAGACAGGGTCCAGCTAAATTTCCTGGGCTAGGCTGGAATTTACAATCCCACCTTAACTTCCCAGAGTGCTAGGATTACATAATTGTGCCACTAGGCCTGGCCAGCAGTTCTGTCAGCCTTCCTTTGATATAAAAAGTGAGGTTAAAACAAGCTAAGTATGAGAATGGGGAGGAGGTGATAGGGGTTTGAGGAGTAACTACAGCTTAACACGTATTTCCCAATAATAACAGCTCTAGTTTACATTTAAGGAACTTAAATGGTACTCAGATTCAGGAACTGGTTTAAAGTCACAAAGCTGGGGGAGTGGGAGACTCCATAATGCAAGCAGTCTCATCAGAACTTGTATTCTTAGCCAGATGTGAAGGATTTGGTAAATACATGTACAGCGCACTGTGCCTAGGCATGACAGCTGAGCGGTCACTAGTGGGAAGATTGGTGGATCCTGTAGACACAGCAGAGGGGTAGCCATAGCGTTTGGAAGCCCCTGGTCCCTCTACTAGTGATTATGTGCTGGCCCCTGATGGGGGGAGGCTTGCTCAGCTGGTGACCCTGGTGGATGATGATCCTCCACTGCCCCAACATAGTACATAAGCCCCTTTTCTCTCCCAGTGCACCGGCTGCTGACTCATGCCTTAGGCCACGTGACCCTGCCAGGCCTGCTCCTGAGCCTGCTGCTGCTGTCTGCTCTGGGCTGGTGGCAGGAGCACCACCTGGGCACACTGCGCTTCCTGCACACCTCCACCCTCCTCTCCCTGGCCATTGGGCTGCTGGCTGCGCTGCTGGCAGGCCTTGGGGTATCTAGTGCAGGTGGTGGCAGTGGATACATGCCAGTCCATCTGGCCATGCTGGCCGGGCCGGGTCACTGCCCTCGATGGTTTTGGGGGGTGCTGCCACCAAGGCTATTGCCCTGGCTGCTGCTTGCCTTGACTCCATTGCTCTGCTCTGAGCCACCCTTCCTGCAGCTCCTCTGTGGCCTCCTTGCTGGCCTGGCCTGTATCCTTTGCTGGAGCATAGAGCCTGCATAGCCTCGTGGGTTTTGTGGCTGAGCCCCTTGGATACCTGGGAAAGAAGTAGCACAGGACGCTCTGGCCCCAGGTAGTTCCAGGTGGCTGTACACACATCATAGGAACAACTCTTGGAGTGAGGACTGGGGTCTCATGGCCAGGTGGAAGTGCCATTTTCAATTTAAAGGGCTCCATGGGGAGTCTGGGAGAGTGGAGGAGGCACTAATCTGAGTCCTGCTGTGAAGGTGGCATCTAAACTGAGGCACACAGGAAAAGATTTGGGTGGAGGGCAGTAGGACAGCAGACCAGGCAGAGGGCACAGAAAGTGCAAATGTTAAGAAGTCCATGGGAATTGAGAGGACAACCCTACGGCCTGTTGTTTAGGTTCTGAAAACATAGGCATTTGCTCCAAAGATGCTGAGTACTGGTCACCACAGTGAATAGGCTGACCCCTTGCAGTATTTCAGGGGAATCTCTTTCTGATTCGTGACACCAGAAGCCCAGGCTTGTGTGAATGGGGAGCATGTTGGTCCGTAGGGCTCAGAGTCACAGACCTAAGCAGGCACATAGCCCTGAGAGCAGAGCAGGTCAGGATGGCACAGGGTGGGGGAGAGCCAGATTTAAGGGGAGGCACATCTGGCTCCTCCTCTTTGGCCAAGTAGCTTCAAGCTGGTTCCCTTTTACTAAGCCTCTGCTGTTGACTTGGTTGATGACACATTTGTTTAGGCTGTCGTGAGAGAGAAACAAGGGAATGCCTAGCATACACTTGGCAAGGGGCCTGGTGTGTAGGGCTGGGCAACCCCTTGCTGGTTTCAGTTTTCCTTGACCCACTGCCCTGCCTTGGGCAGACAGATACGACTGGAGCCTTCTGGTGGCTGGAGCTCTCAGAGCGGCGACTGCAGATGTTGCAGGAGAGCTTCTTGTGTAGGACTCTGGCCCGGTGCTGGCCGCTGAGGCTCTTTCCCACCCCAGGCAGCCTAACTGAACTGCCTGTCACCCATCCTCCTGGAGTGAGGTGAGGGAGATATCATGGCCCCAGCACTGGTGGTGGAAGCCATGGCAGTGGCTGGCAGTCATCCCTTCCTTTGCTTTTGTTCCTGCAGGCCTGCTGTCCCTGCCCCTCCTTACCTAGCTTTCCCTCCCTCCTGGTCTCAAAATGAATGTCCAGCTAGGCTTCCACCAGGTCTGGGGCCTGTGCCGCTGACTTGGAAGGGTTCCTCGGAGGTAGATCTGGACTGGGCCAGGTCCAACTTTGCTCCAGGGACCCCACTGTGGATGGCTCTGGATGAGCAGATGCTGCAGGAGGGAATTCAAGCTTCACTCCTGGATGGGCCAGTTCAAGGGCCCCAGGGCCCCCTGTGGCTGCCTAAGTCCTCTGTTTCTTCTCTGCGGTAAGGCAGGGTAGGAAGGGTGGGTGCCCATGTTGAAGAGGCTGTAGTGGTCCTGACATACCTTCGTCTCTATGCCACCTCACAGGCTGCAGCAGCTGGAGCGCATGGGTTTCCCCACAGAACAAGCCGTGGTGGCACTGGCAGCTACAGGCCATGTGGAAGGTGCTGTGTCCCTTCTGGTTGGAGGGCAGGTGGACACAGGGGCTTTAGTGACTGAAGGGAGGGGGTTACCTGCCAACCCAAAGGGTCCTGGGCCCCCCTAGCAGAGGACAGGGGCACAGGCCCTGCCTGAGGGCAGATAACCTGAGTCCCGTTGTCTACTGAAGACCATGTTTGGTACAGGGATGCCCCCCATTGGCATGATGTCTTGGTACTTGTTTATAATAAAAGCCAGTGCTTTTTAGCCTGGACTCTTTGGACTCTTTGGACTTGTTTCTGACTTGTGTTGGTATTGGGGATGAATTGAATGGTGACTAAATGACTACTTGTAGGAAAGCACTCCTTCATGTCCTGTTGACATCAGGCTTTGGCCCTGTAGCCTCTTCCACTGGGAAGTTGTGTCCTCCAGGGTTGGGCTGGACCCTCTGGCATCATCCATCACTTGTTCCCAACTGATGTCTGCCCATCATTGGGCTTCAGGTAAGACCCTCCTGAGCTGCCCCAGTCCAAGCACACAGTGAGACCAGGCTGGGTGGGACCCAGGTAGGGCCCTTTATTGGCCAGTACATATCTGCCTCTCAGTGTCTGTCACACACTTCAGACAGCCTCTTCTCCATATCCCCAACCCTGACCTGGGACACTGGGGAGGGACTAGAAGCTTGAGGGGCAGAAATGAAACGAGAAGACTGTTACCACTGTTGGGAAGTTAGAGGGCCCAGCCTCAGGGGTGGGAACCCAGCACCAGGAAACAAGAGGTTGTGCAGGGGGGCTCCCCAGAGTTTGAGGAGGGTGGAGACTGCCCCTTTCCTCCACATCCCTGCACATACTGAGAGTGGGGCAAAGGTCTACTCTTGGCTTCTGCAGTGCTTCTCAGCCTGAAAGTGGATGAGACAAGATACTATGTACCTCTCCCCACTCTTTGAAGGCCTGTATTATCCCATTTTGTAAAGGGAAAGGAAGGCCCAGGCCCCTGAGTGAGGCTGAGTAAGCCTGCCTAGGTTATCTCTCTCTTAAGTCCCAGTCCCTGCTGGGTTTCAGGTATGAACTGGTGTCAGGACTGACCTGCATACCCCTAAAGCCTACGTGGCAGAGGGACCCTGAGGACATTAATAAATAGGAACTGGTGATCCCTGGAAGCAGCTGGCCAACTCCAGGTTGGAAGGGGAAACCTGGTGTGGTCCACCCTGAGGGGCCTTCAGCCTCTCTCATTCCGGCTCCTAGGGGTGACGATCCGGTAGTTGGCTGCATGTCCTCCCCTCTTGCCCCGAAGGAGGCCAGGGGTGCCCATGCCACCAGGGCCTGTCCCAGACCCCAGCTCTGGTTCTGTTGGAAGGAAGAAGGAGAGGCTGTGTTAGGAGGTCCATATGGGGTTCCCACCTCCTCCTGGCCCTCTGGCAGGGGGCAGGACAGAGCAGTATACCTGGCACCTGGGAGGTAGAACTTGGGGAAAGAAGGGCACCTTCAGGCTGGTTAGTTCCTTCTGTCAGGACTTCTGAGTCCCCCAACCCAATAATAATACTCAGGGCCTCTACTTGATTCCTGCTTTCTCAAGCAAGGATAACTAGGCCTACCATGTTTACATAAATATTGTAGCAAATACTGTGTTGAAAGTTCCGTTCTTAACTGGGCATGGTGGCACATGGCTGTAATCCCTGGGAATCTGAGGCAGGACTGCAAATTTGAGACCAGTCTAGGGCAATTTAGCAAGACCCTGTTTTAAGAAAAAGAAATTGTTTTTTTTCAGTAGTAGAGCACTTGTCTAGAATAGGTTCAATACTCAGCACTGCAAAAACAAAGCCAAAAATCATTCCATTACCCAATCATAACTGGGTAAACTACAGCTAGAAAACACATTTACTGCCTCTGTTCCTGTTTTCTTGAGCTAGGCCACCAGTTTGGGGAAAAGAATTAGGAAAGGGCCAGGCTCTGCCCCTGTCCTACGGGGTGCTTTGAGCAGGTTGGGCCCGTAAGGGCCTCAGTTGACTTTATCTCTAAATCAAGGACATTTCCAGATATTGAGGGCCAGGCAGCTCCAACAATGACTGAAGTCAGTTCCAGTGGGGCTATGGTGAAATACTCCAACCTAGAGTGAAATAATACAGGCATTCTTGCCACGGGAAAAGCCCTGCTTAGCTTTCCAAACCCAGAACAGAGCTGTGTCCTCTGGGAAGCCTGTGACTATCATCTCAGTCAGCACAGGATAGGCTGCTTTTCTAGTGGGAGATGGAGACTCAGGGAGTCTCCCCACTACGCCCATGATGAAGGACTTGACTGAGTCTCTAGAGCTGTTGTTTCTAGGAGAGATGTTTGGGCTGTGGTGAGCACCACATTTCCACTAAGGGCACTGCTGGTGAAAACGGCTGTACTCATAAACCTAACAACCCTGCTAAAGACCCAGATGGCACCCAACATGGTGTCTCACTCCTGTATCCCAGGTCCTTGAGAGGCCCATGCACTTCTGGACTGAGATTAGGGACCTCTGGGACAGGCAGGTATGTGTAGTCAAAGGAATGTCAAAGGACATTCCATGCACAATGACAGGAAGCATGGGAGGCAGTGGCACAAAACCACCAGCTTCCATCTCAGCTGGGATCAAGTCCTGGCTCCACCGTGTTCAAGCTAGGTGGCCTTGGGCAATTCACATACCTTGGAGGCTCATCTGGACCGTGCAGACAATACTTTTGCCATTCATTGTCATACCTTTGCCATAAATGGATTTAATGTGACTGTGAGTGGAATGTGTTTTTTTGTTTGTTTGTTTGTTTTTACAGTAAATCTTGGATTATTAGGGTTACTAGGTTGATGTGGCTTTGACTCTTCTGCATGTCTGGTCACTATGAATTGATCATGACATAAACAACTCAGGGGCCCTAGTATTCCTCGGAGCCCTATTCAGTGCCTAGTCTGGCAAAGATGTCAGCAAGCTTTTGCTAGAGAAGTCAAAGGAGCCAGCCTTTCAGAGGAAAGACCTAGGGTGGACCGCTGGATCTTACTGTTGCTTTCCCCATGACTTTGACAGAATTACACAAGGTCTCTGATCCTGTTTCTTCATCTTTAAAATGGCCATTGCTTACCTGACAAGCTTATTATTATTATTTATTCTTCAGACAAAGTCTCAGTATATAGTTCAGGCTGGCCTTGAACTCATGGCAATCCTCCAGCTTCAGCCTCCTGAGTGCTGGGATTACAGGAGTGTGCCACCATGCCTTTTTTTTAAAAAGCTTATTTTAAGGATTGGAGATGATTACATACCTACCCCAGCCCAGGTGGCCCACAGAGGTGGTAGCTGCTACTATCATCATCATCATCAGCAGCAGCAGCAGCAGCAGCAGCAGCAGCAGCAGCAGCATTTGGTGGCTGGAGACTGAACCTAGGTTCTTTTTTCTTTTTTTGAGACAGGGTCTCGCTATACAGTTCAGGCTGGCCTTGAGCTCACTTTGTAGCCCAGCTGGTCTCGAACTTGCAACGATCCTCCTGTCTCAGCTTCCCGAGTGCTGGGATTACAGGCATGAGCCACCACGCCCGGCTGAACCTAGGTTCTTATGCACAATCTGTATCAATTATAACCTTAACATCATTTCCCTCCTTTTTTTTTTTTTTTTTGGTGGTGGTGATGTTGAAGATTGAAACCAAAGCTTATATATGTAGGTAAGTGCTGTACTACTGAGCTACATCCCCAGCCTTTTCAAAATTTTATTTGAAGACTGGGTTTAACTAAATTGTCTAGGTTATTTATTTATTTTTTACTAGGATCTTGTGCTTGCCAGGCATGTGCTTGTGCCCCTGAGCTATATCCCTGGCCAGTCCAGGTTAGTCTTAAGTGTACAATCCTCCTACTTCAGCGTCTCAAGCAGCTAGGATACAGGGGTGATTCACCATGCTGAGTGCCATTCAGGTATTTAGTTAGCATGTGGTGTGTTTGCTGGGCCAATACAGAAAGTTCCAACTTATTCTCTGTTCTCCTCGTCCTGTACCTCTTCCTCCAGGGCCTGACCCATTCTGGCTTGAAGGGCCACACTCCCAGGTGTGTGGTCACTGAAGAGGGGACCAGGCCTTTTCAAACTGGAACTTCCTCTCTGGGCTGTCAGAGACAAAGCTGGCTGAAGGCATGTAGGACAGATCTTGGGCCTCTGTGGCACAAATGTGTCCTTATTAGCTCTTCCCCCAGTCCTCTTTAGAGAGGTGGTGGGGGACACCTAGAAAGGCGCTGAGAGCTTGGGATTTCATTCCTTAATCCCCCAAATTCCTTGGGTTCCTTGGAGCTGAGGGATATGAAGGGCAGGTACCAACTGGTTGCAAGGCAGCAGGAGCCGGGATGTATCTCCACTGAGACCTCAGTCTGACTTCGTAAGGAAGAGACAGGGATTCCTAGCTCCTCAAGGGAACAGATGAGTGGGAAGGAGGTCTGGAAGGGAGTCTTGATATCTCTAGAAGTTCAAGAAGCCAGGTGGCTGGTGGGAGGGACTCTGCAAACTTGGACCACACATGCTTTCCAGCCTGGGCCTTTTGCCTTTTTAGGCTGGTCAGGATTGTCCTTTTTACCTTCTCCACCTGGCACACCCAAGAATGTTTCATGACCCAATGCAAGTGTCCCCTCTTGCAAGAAGTTATCCCCTTGGGGCTAGGGTTATAGGTCAGTGTTATTAGTGCCTGCCTGGCAAGTGCAAGGTCCTGAGGTTAATTCCAGGTCACTCCCCCTGCCCACTCCCAAAAGTTGTCCCCAACATTCAGTGGGAAATAAGTTTCCTCACCCATGTACTTGGGTGCTCTTTCCCCCCAAACCTCTACAAATAACTAAGGATTCCCTGCCACCAATGGGTCGCTCCCTAAGGCATAGCCCCAGTTGCTCTGTAGGGCTGCAGCACCCACCCCAGCCTGGTGTTCAGCAGATGCACCCTGTGATTTTAGCTGAATGAAGGAGGGTTGGTACTGACCTTGACCCTTCTTCCCATAGTTTCTTGTTAGGTTGGACATGATGTCAAGGCCTGTGTCCAACATGCTCATGAACTGTGAGATGAGGTGGCTAGAAGGGGGCAAAGGGCAGCTGGGAGACCTCTTACTGGGTGGGTGAAGGCAGCCGAGCCCTTCCTCTCCCTAGTACCGGCCATGAGCTCTGGTTTTGAAGGGAGAGATGTCTTCAGCCTCATCTCTGGGACAGGGAGGGATACTGCCTTCCTTACCTTCTCCCATGCCACCCCGACCTACTTCTAGAACCTTTTTAGTTTGGACCCTGTCAGATTCTCCAGCCTTGGCTCTCACCTCTCAGTAACACTGAGGAAAAGTTCTCTAGGTCCTCTCTGGTCTCTTGGCCTTTGATCTTCTTCTGCCTATTCATTTTCCCTTGATCCTTGCCCTTCAGGTATCCACTGAAGGAGACATCACCTTATTACCCACCACTGCCATGTGGATCTGAGCCAGAAACATTTGTGTTTTCCCTGGTGCCTGGGAACTCCACCATGGGATATCTTGCTTTGGGATATCTTGCCTTAGGTTCCAATGCCAGGGCTCCTCTCAGCCCCCAGCCCCCTAAACTCCATGAGGGTGTCTGATGTGTTGGAGCCAGAGCCAGCAGGTGTCTGACACAGAGCAGATGCTCCTTCCCCGGAGCACTAGTTACCAGAGCCTTCTCTGTGCCAATCACCATCTGCTGGATGGATGGAAGGATGAAGAATGAATGTCCGCTGGCCAAGCCAAGCACTGCGAGGTGCCTCCTGCATGCCCAGGCCCTACCCAGGCCCTTCCTGGAAGGGCTGCCCCTGCCTGCCCACCCTGCCATTACCTGGCCAGATGATGGCTTCCAGCAGGGTGACCCGTCTGGCCAGGAGCTCCAGCTGAGCCTGCTGCTGCAGGAAGCTCTGTAAGCTAGGAGCCTGATGGGAGATTGAGAAGAGCAGACGGTGCGAGTCTGGCCTGTGAGGGCTGGGCCGGGGAGCCAAGGGGAGTGAGGAGGTAGGTGCTGGGTGGCTTTAGAGCAAAAGCCTGGATGAGTTTCCACTGAGACCTCTGTCTCCCCTCCTAAGGTGGGGACAGGGCTTGTCTGGTTCCTCAAGTGACTAGCTAGGTGGGGAATCGTTAAGATGAATGCTGGAGTGAGTGTCTGGCTCTCCTGATCTCCTAAAGGGAACTGCAGGGCAGATTAAGAGGATCAAAGTGGAAGCTGTAAGGGGGATACTAAGGGCCAGGAGGGATTATGGGGAAAAAGGACCAGATCTGGTAGGTGGTGAATTACCCAGAGTCCCCTGTGGTCTGAGCCTGGTTCTGTCATACGGAGTCCCCTGTACTTCTGGAGTCTCTGTGACTGATTGTCTTATGGGCCTACAGGTTCTGTTACCTGGCACTGTCACCTCTGATTTCTTTAGTGCTGAAGACTGAATCTAGATCCATTACCCACACTCCTTCTGTGGCCTTGGGCTCTGACTCTATCACCCCAGAAGTCTGGCTCTGTCACCTACAATCCCTTGCTGATGTGGAGTTTGGTTTCCATTGTCCATAATTTCTTCTAAACTTGAAATCTGTCATCTCTGGTTTTGTGCAGGACAGGAAACTATATTACCCACAATGCCCAGGTCTGACCCCTGCAGTGGGGCTTGTGTTTCTAGGGCCCCCTTCACCTGTGCAGGAGATGACTGGTCACTGAAAAATGAGTAGTCTTGGCTTCTCAAGTCCACACCTGCTTGGGGCAGGCACTTTCTCCAGCCTCATGACTGGGCTCATGCCAGTTTTTTTCCCAGGAGAGCTTGGGGAAGACTGGCAGGCAGGGGCTGGGCTGTCTGTCCGTCTGTCTGTCTCTACTCACCATAGAGCCCAATCATTGTTTCCAAGATTAAAACCCTCTCAGCTAAAATCTTCAAAGCCTCGCGTAGTTGGTGCAACCCCTCCCCCTGTGGAGGAAAGAGACAGATGCAGCCGTGATGGGGGCAAGGGAGGGGGCCCTGCAAAGCCTGTTGGTGACCCATGCCCCACCCGGGACATGCACCTGCAGCCTGCACTACCTGCCACAGCCCAGGGCCCACGGACAGCCAGGACAAGACCAGGAGAGGACAGGAAGGGAACAAGGCAGGGGAAGCAATCCTTGAAGGCACCCTCAGAATGACATCTGATCCCAGCTGGCTGCAAATCCTGCTGTTCTGAGGCAGAGGGATGCCAATCAGCAGGGGCAGAATGGCTGTCCCAGAGCCTGCCTAGCCGCAGTGGAGCACACCCTGTCCTCTCATCTCTGTTGCTTAACACTAGCTGCTCTGCACGATTCCCACCACATCGCACTACTCTGTTTATTTCATTCTCTTTCAATTCACTTTTTGTCTTAAATTATCTCCTTTTTTTTTTTTTTTTTTTTTTTTTTTTTTTTTTGCGGTACCAGGGATCAAACTCATGACCTCATGCTTGCCAGGCAGGTGCTTATGCCATTGAACTAAATCCCCAGCCCCTAAATTATCACTTTAGCCACATCATAATTAACTATCAGTAAGATTAGGATAGTTGCTGATATTTCCATGCACACCAAAATGAATATAAATAAAAATTAAAAATGTTTGAGGGGCATTGCCCTCAGGAAATTGGTTCTTACAGTGCTGGCAAATCTAACTCAGGTGTGGTGGTACATGCCTATAATCCCAACACTTGGGAAGCTGAGGCAGGAGGACTACCAAGAGTTTGAGGCTACCCTGGGCTACACAGTGAGTTCAAGGTCAGCCTGAGCTACCCAACAAGACCTTGTCTCAAAAAACAAAACAAAACAAAACATCCTTCCCTCGCAAAAAAATCTGTGGCTGTGGTCCAGAACCCCTTCCCAAAAAGTGCTCAATCCTGTCAGGGCTCTGACACTCTGGCACATCCTGGTGCCCACCCTCAGAACTGTCCCCTAAGCAGTGTTGGTCTGCTCCTCTGCTTCTCAGGCCTGTCCCTCCCAGCCTTCACAGATGTAGCAGTGGCCTCAAAACTCTTTCTCTAGGGCTTCCTGGCTTTTAGGCTCCCCACCCTACAAGTGGAGGTAGTTACTGTCAGAGTCTTAAACAGCCAGTGAGCACGCTGACTTCCTCCCAGTCTGTCCTTTCCTTCTCCACGGAGCCTCAGCCCTTGCCACGCTTCCTCACTCCTTCCTCTTGCTCAGATGAAAAAAAAGTGATTTTTAGAATGCAGGTATCTCAGTTTCAGCAGAGCCCAGGATGAGAACTATGCCATTTCTGACAACATTAGTATTGTCTCTTGGAATCCTTTACTTGAACTGTATTAAGTAAAGGAATGTCTAACATGCACATTGTATAATTATAATCCAACTTTTTTTGGTCTTTTTTGAGGCAAGGATTTATTATATGGTTCAAGCTGACCGGGAACTCACTATGGAGCCCAGGGTGGCTTTGAACTCAGTGATCCTCCTGCCTCAGCCTCCCAAGCACTAGAATTAGAAGGACGTGCCATCACACTGTTTTATAATCCAACCTTTAAAGTAGCTGTTCTTCCTAAAAACATCTAATTAACTCAGAGACCTCCTAACATTTCCATTATGAGTAAGCTACTTCCTGGGGTTGTCCCTTATCCAGCTGTCATGTCACATCATATAGATTAGGCTATCCCCATGCCACCGTTGCGGCCATTTTCCAGGGTTACCAGGGGTTACAAGGGGTTGTCAATGCAACCCCTCTCTAAGTATCACAGGAACAGGATCTAAAAATGAGTGTCCTGCAAAATTGTCATTAAGCTATTCTTAGCACAGACAGTGGATAAACTGACACCTGAGCACCTTGATGGGCACTGCTTCCACAAGTGCTCCTACCAATTACTTCACCTGCACTGCATCTCACTGTGAAGAAATCAACATATCTAGATTAAGACATTCACTAAAAGACAAAGTCAGGCGTGCTTGTGCGTGCTTATAATTTAGCACTTGGAAGGCTGAGACAGGAGGATCACTGTGAGTTCAAGGCAAGCCTAGCCTATTTAGTGAACTCAAGGCAAGTTGGGATACAGTGAGATCTTGTTTCATAACAACAAAAAAATAACAACAAATAAGCAACTAAAAAAAGACAAAGTCAAAGCTGGGTATGATGGTGCACAACTATAATCTCAGCACTCTCAAAGGCTGAGTCAAGAGGATTGAGTTTGGGCCCCAGCCTGGATAATCTGAAGATTTAGTGACACACTATCACAAAATGAAAAAATGGAAGAAGAGCTGTGATGTAGCTTAAGGTGAGGCTCCGGATTCAATCTTCAGGACAGGGGGAAAAAAGGTCAAGAAAAGAAAAAAGAAGAAAAGGGCAGAAAGTTTATTTTAGACTAAAAGATAACAGAGACATGACAACCAAATGCAACAGGTCAACCTCAATCAGAGCGTGGATTTAAAAAACAGCTTTGGGGCCAGGGGTGTAGCTCAGTGGTAAAGCATGTGTTTACCATGAGGCTGTGGGTTTGATCCTCAACACTGTGAAAGTAAATAAATAAAAATAACTGGATAAATTAAAAGAACTTTCAAAGGCATTTAGGGGACAATTGGTAAAACTGACATGTAAGTTGGATTATATTAAGTGGCAGCAGGTTACTTAACTACTGTTAGTTACTTGATCATGGCAGTTGTATTGCAGTTATTTGGGAGAATATATATAGAGAGAGAGAGAAAGAGAGAGAGAGAATATATATATATAGTATATATATAAAAAGAGAGATGTATGCGGAATGTTAGGGAAGAGGTAGATGATATTTGCAGCTTTCTTTTAGATGAGTTTGAAAGATATACAAACATATAAAGAGAAAAACAGTATGTGTGCAAAATACTATTCATTGGTTTACGTAAAGGAGGAGCAGACGGAAGTCCATTGTATAAGCATTTTGGTACAGGGTATTTGAAAAACTTCAAAGTAAAAACCGAAAGGCAAGTATTAAAAAACAAAAAAACCCTCTCAGAAGGACGGCTTGCCGTGTGCACGGGTGATACCCCAGTCACCTTCCAGCCTGACCTGCATCTGTGCTCTGGATCTAAGTGTCCAGGGCCTGCTGGATACTCTCGCTGGGTCATAATACAGACATCCCACTTTTCCAGGGACAAAACTCAGTGTACTTGCTTCTCCTGGTTCTCTTTTACTATCTTAAGTCTTCCTGACAGCTCATTCCCCTTTGCAGCAAAAGCAGCACCCAAGTCTCTTAGCTCCATTGATACTGGTCTGTCCTTGCTGCCCCCACCCCCTGTTCCAGTCCCCTCAATCTCTCACAAAGATGACCAGATCAGTTGCCTACCAAGTCTCTTTCTGCTTCTTTCATGCTTCTCTCCTCTCCCAATCATTCTCCATGTGGCAATTAAAGAGCTATTTTGCAAACAAAAGTAACTAACTCACTTTCCTCAAGAATACTTCCATGATGAGCTGGGCGTGGTGGCTCACCCCTGAAATCCCAGCACTCGGAGGCTGAGGTGGGAGGATCGTTGTGAGTTTGAGACCAGCCTGGGCTACAAAGTGAGCTCAAGGCCAGCCTGAACTGCATAGTGAGACCCCATCTCAAAAAAGACACACACACACACACACACAAAAGAATACTTCCATGATTTCCCAGTACCTGCAGAACAAAATCCAAATTCCCTAATATGGCTTCTTAAATCCTAAGACTCTTTGGCATCTGTCTCTCTACTTTTCTGTCACACTGCTACTCCAAGTATTAGCAGCTTTTCAAATACCTGGGGTTCACTCTTGTCCCACGGTCTTTGCACATGGTATTCCCATTTCTGGTTATGCCCCTTTTAGGCCTAGATGGTCTCCTCCAGGAGGGTGCTACAGTGTGCTATCACAGCCAACTCAGTCTGCTGACTGTAGGTCTTCCTTCTCCTACCCCATGATGACCACTCTAAGGATGGGATGGTATATACATCCACAGTGCCAGTGGGGCCAAGTCTAGGCTTTGCCACAGATTTTCTCTGTAGAGTTGGGCCTCAATTTCTCTGTTTGAGTAAGTAATGAAGGCTTTAAACTACAGAGATAGAAGGCTCAGGCTAATCATTCAGCTCTGACCACTGGGTGTCACTGTTGAGCTACAGCCAAGCCGCGGCCGCTAAAAGCTGCCGCAAGGGGGCACTGGTGGGTGGAATGAACACCGGAGCCCTCAGAGACTCACCAGCACTGCCCCCCACATCCCATTCTGGGCTCCTAGCCTCAAAGCTTCATGCAGTTTCCAGCCCAGCAGGTCCCCTCCCCTAGCAGGCAGCAAGCAGGGGGAGAGGTGCAGAGGGATGAAGGGCAGGAAGGAGGACAAGCAGGAGTGGGGGCCCTGCTACTTCCTGGGTGGCCTGTCCCAGGGGTGGTCCTGTGTTCAAGAGCTGGTCTAGGTGGCCCAGGCATCCTGTCCCCTTGTCAGGGATCCCCATGGAGGTTGGGACTACACAGCCTAATTCTGCCTTGACCTCATCTCACCCACCTTGGGCTGGGTGAGAAACATGTTCCCAGCATGAAGGTCTCTTGAAGAGGAGAGTGAGGGATCTACCTGACCCCCCAGCTCAGCTCATGCCTACTCTGGAGGCCCTGGAGCCATAGTGGTGTTAGCAGGTGGACAGCAAACAGCTAAGAGAGGTAGCAGAGCCCCAGAAGTCATGGAGAGACATAGGGGAGGACTCGTCGTGCAGGATAGGGGGCTCCCACGGCTGTATCCATCACTGACCCCACAATCAGTAACCGAGAGGGCAGGCACTGGGGGCTGTCCACATCCTCACTAACTTGTGCCTGCCAGAAGTAGGTGTCCTGGCCAGACACCCTCCAAAAGAGCACGCTCAAGGTATTTCTCCTGTGGGGTGTCTATCCCTATTCTGTCCACTTTCCAAATGTTTCTTACGTCACTGGTTTCCAGGTCCCTGTATTGTGGAACTTTGGGACACAGTGTATTTGTCTAGGCTCCTGATCCTTCCCTCATGTATCTCCTGGAGGAGATTTTTAGGCCCTGAAATTCATTCACTATAATTATCTCCAATAATTGTACTGATTTTTAGGAGCCCACATGAATCATGGGATTTCTCAGTGTGTGGTTTCCAGGGCCCCATTCTTGTTCCTCTATGTCTCTTGTGTATGTGATCATTTCTAGGCACCCCATTTCCTATTCTTCATTGTTTCCTTTATACATAGTGGTATCTAGATTCCCTGATACCATAGTGGTGTTTTTGGGGTTTTTTTTTTTTTTTTTTTTGGTGCCAAGGATTGAACTCACAACCTCATGCTTGCCAGCAAGTGCTGTGCTACTGAGCTATATCCCTGGCCCTTCCATAGTTTTGCACGTGACAGTTTCTAGGCTTCCCTTGCCATTCATCATCATCCTACTTGTATCTAGAACCTCGTGTTATTTATAAGTCTTTGGGGTACAGTGGTATCAGGTCATCTGAACCATGTCAAACGTGTATATGATGGTGTCAAGGCCTCTCTTCCCAGACTTCCTAGATTTTTGTGTGTGTGTATGGTGGTATCTGGATTCCTAGTCCCTTTTGCTGTGGGGCCTCTGTACATCTCACTGTTTTTAGGCCTTCCTCCTATGTGCTTCATGGCTTTCCTAAGGTACCCTATCCTGTTGTTCCACGTTGACACTGTCTTCATGCTTTCCATTTTCCCTGACAGGGGAGCAGACGTCAAAGCCCTTATAGGAAGGCACGGTGGGGACAGGGGATGCAGTCTGGCCTGGGTCAACTCAAACCACCCAGTAGAAATAGACAGTCACCCTGGCCCTGAAAAGCACAGTGCAAAGGTACAGACAGACAAAGACAGATACAGAGAGCGGTGGGTCTGCTGACAGGGCTGGTCTTGCCCAGGAGTGACAGGATGAGGAGGGGGCTGGGGCAGAGAATTGCCAGGTGTCAGCAGGAGACCAGGCAGGAGAGTGGATGGGGCACTCCCACCCCTGGGACCTACTGGTGAGAGAATTCTCTCATGAGCACCCACGGTAGGAGAAGACAAGCGAAGGTCAGGGCTGGACCAGAGCTTACCCAGTGGCTCTTCTCACCAGGGTCTCCTTTGGGGCCGGGTTCTCCCTGCAAGGAGAGACAGGGACAGAAGTAAGGGAGGGAGGGAGAGGAGACAAAGAGAAAGATTGAGAGAACTACAGAGAGATGGGATAGGGAGGTAGTGCAGGGGTACAATGCTCGTCTAGCATCACACACACACACACACACACACACACAGAGAGAGAGAGAAGAGAGAGAAAGAGAGAGAGAGAGAGAGAGAGAGAGAGAGAGAGAGAGAGAGAAAGGAAAATAAAGAAGTCAGGTGTTGTGCATGCACTTGGAAGGCTGAGGCAGGAGGATCATTTCAAGTTCAAGACCAGCCTGGGTTACAAAGTGAGCTCAAGGCTGGCCTGAACTGCATAGCAAGAGCCTGTCTCAAAGAGATAAAACAAAACAAAACAACAAAACTAAGCCTCTAGGGGCTGGAGATTTTGATCACTGCCACAGTGCCGGTCAGGCAAGTGTGTGGTCCTGAGTTTGATTCTTGGTACCCCCTCCTCTGAAAAAAAAAACCAAAATCCAAAAACTAAGCCTCTAAAAGAGCAACATTATCAGCAGCTTAATTGTGCTAGATGAAAACTCAATATTCTTCAGAGGAAGTTCCCCCTCACCAAAGGGAGCTATTACATACAATTTTTCAAACACAGTTTGTACTAGTTAAATCTCCTCCCCCACCTTTTTTTTTTGTGCTTAGGAAGCCCATCTCTATAACAAAAACTGATATTTTGATAGGAAGAGTGACCTCACCTATTAGAAATGCAAAATTATGACATTTCCTGGTGTCTTGATATATACTTTTTTGTTGTTTGTTTGTTTATTAGACCGGGTCTCACTATGTAATAGTTCAGGCTGACCTTGAACTCACTGTGTAGCTGAGGTTAACCTCAAATTTGCAGTGATCCTCCTGCCTCAGGCTCCCAAATGCTGGGATTACAGGTGTGGGCCATTATGCCCAGCCACATAGGTTCTTCAGGACTGGAATTCCTGTAAACTCCCTATCCCAGAAGCTCAGGTTTTTCTAGAATCCATATCTGAGGGCAAGAACTGCTAAAGTAGAGCCAGTTCACAAAATCACGTTCCTTCTTAACTGAGTAGGCTTTTTGTTTGGCTTACTGTACTTTCTTTTTTGGAACTTAGGTCCTGGAATCAAAATTTAAAAAGAGCTACGGTATGCTAGAAGGGAGTCCCTTTGTGTATGAGTGGCAGTAAGAGCAGCCTGACCTCAAAAGATATTACAGGGAAGAAACCAGTTAGATTATAATTAGGGGGAGGAAAACCCCAAGATCCGCAGTGAATTCAGGCTGAGTCTTGGGAAGGATAAGGGAATGAAATTAGTCTGGAAATTGAGACGTAAGACTGGTTCAGTGTGAGTACAGGATATCTAAATATTCCTCAGTTAGATGCTTGTTTTTTTATTTTATTTTTATTTATTTATTTATTTATTTATTGTCTTTTATCGGTACCAGGGATCGAACTCACGACCACCTGCTTGCAAGGCAGTTGCTTATGCCACTGAGCTAAATCCCCAGCCCCTGTTTTTTTATTTTAAAGAAAAAAGAGATAAGCATAACAATGAAACCAAGTTTCAAAACAGGTTAGTAGGGCAGTTACAATAGTTGATACACTGTGTGTTGTCTTCCTAGTAGTTATTCAGAGTACACAGAGGAAGAATTGAACTCAGTGTATCTTCAACATATTATCCACATTGTCCATAGCAATAAAAAAATTACTAGACATGAAAAAAAATGTGTCCCATATTCAAGAGAAAAATCAGTCAATAGAAACAGATCCATAACTAACTCAGGTGTTATAATTAGCAGACAAGAAATTTAAAATAACTATGATGCGTATGTTAAAGAATCTACTGAAATTGATGCAATAGGTAAAGAGATACAGAATTTTGGGAGAAACGTGTAAACTGTAAATTAGAATTAAGTAGGAATTCTAGAAAAAAGGTTCATTGGATATGATTAACAGAAAATTATATACAACAAAAAACAATCAACTTGAAGATAGGCCAATAGAACAGTTCAAACTAAAACGTGGAAAGAAAAGGATTTTTAAAAAACTGGCCCGGGTGAAGTGGTGTACCACAGTACATGCCTGGCAGCATGAGGCCCTGAGTTCAAGCTCAGGCAGAAAGAAAAAATTAACAGTACCTCAACGACTCACGGGACATTATCAGGTAGAGTCCAAAAGGAGAGAAGAGAGAGCAGGAACAGATAACTCTCTTTTCTTTTTTGTTAATAGTGGGAAAGTTTCATATATACTAAAGGTAAGAAAAAACAGGCTCTGCAGAGAGAGTTTGGGCCAAGTACAAGTAGGAAAAGGGCAAAAAATAATTAAAAAATACACCCCACAATGTAGGCTGGGTTACCACAAGGCGACATGACAGCTGAAACAAAAACTTTTCCACTCAGGGTTGGGGATGTAGCTCACTGGCAGAGCACTTGTCTAGCATGCATGAGGACTTAGATTGCATTCTTGGTCAAAGAAAGAAAAAACAGGCTTGGTATGTGGCACACCAGTGCTTGAGAGGCTGAGGCAGGAGGATTGTTGCGAGTTTGAGGTCAGCCTAAACTATGTTGTGAGACCCTGTCTCAAAAAACAAGACAAAACAAAACAACAACAACACAAACAAGCAAGCAAGGAGGGAAAGAGGAAGGAAAGAAGTTTTACTATTGACCTATTTCTTTTTTCAAATTTTATTTATTTATAAGAGTAGGAAGAATTTATTGAGAGAAAGAAAGCTTCTGTCTAAGGGGAAAAAAAGAGGATCCAGAAAGTGGATTGGCTCTCAAATTTTATTTAAAAACAAAATAAACTTCCAGGTTCTGAGTCTGGCATGTTAAGAGTGTGTGAGTGTGTGTGTGTGTGTGTGTGTGTGTGTGTGTGTGTGTGTGTGTCTGTGTGTGTGTGTGTGTGTCTGTGTGTGAGTGTGTGTCTGTGTGTGTGTGTGTCTGTGTCTGTGTGTATGAGTGTGTGTGTGTGTCTGTGTGTGTGTGTGTGACTGGCTTACATCACCAAGACAAGGTGGTGGAGTGGAAAATTTCAGTGGACAGCTGCAGGCCTAAATAATTTGAACTGACATATTAGGAGTTTAGGAACTGCCACTCCATCCTGACAACTAAAACAGTGACAAAATGCAAAAATCAACAACTTGTAGTCAGAGAAGTGAGGCCAAGGCAAACTGCTAGCCCCAAACCTGGAGAGAGAGACAAGCGAATAGAGACAATCACCATTTAAAAGAGAGAAACTCCACAGAGTGGAAATCTCCACAGTTCTGAGATAGGAAAACCTAAAGCAAAATTGACAAATTTCTGAAGGTTCAATGAAGACAAGTTTGAGAGTTAAAAGTCCCAGAGAACCCAGTTATTCTCCACACACGCTACCATCTGCTCACAGAGAGTATCAGCGGTAAAGGCCATTGTGCTTCCAACAGAGAGAAAATGAGCCATTTTAAAATATGCTAGCGGGCCAGGGATTTAGCTCAGCGGTGTAAGCACCTGCCTGGCAAGCGTGAGGTTGTGAATTCAATCCTTGGTACAAACAAAACAAAATAAAACAGAATAAAAAAACTAGTATATGCTTCCCCCCTGCCCCTCAGGGATTGAACCCAGGGCCTTATCACTCAGCTACATCCTAAACAGGTTTTCTATTCTTTACTCTTTCTCTTTTTTTTCTTTTTGGAATTTTGAGACAGAGTCTCACCAAGTCGCCCACATTAGGTTCCAACTTGTGATTCTCCTGCTTCATCTTCCCAGAGTGCTGGCACTACTGATGTGCACCAACATACCTGACTCAGGACATTCTGTTCTTTTTTGTCTTTTTTTCCTTTTTATCAGTACCGGGGATCGAACTCACGACTGCCTACTTGTAAGGTAGGCGCTTATGCTGCTGAGCTAATCCCCAGCCCAACATTCTGTTCTTAGTAAGATTCGCTCTCAGGAGAAATTAATTTGCCTGAGCCAAAATGCTGGGGTTTTATTAGGGCCTAAAAAACCTAGAAGAAGGGAAATAATTCCTGTTTTCCCTAGCTTTCCATGAGGGAAAAATGAAATATCCACCCCCACCCCCTGAAACATAAAATCAGTGGGGGAAGAACAAAACCAAAACATGCAAGACACCCCCCTCCCCCTGCCATCACCACTAGTGAAGCTCATAGTTCAGGGCACAGCCTGACACACAAAATAATTATCACACAAGAGAGCACTTTTCTTCTCCCCACACCTTACCATGCATTACTATAGGTTTATTTATCGTAGTTCCTTTTACATAATATATCATGTCCATCTTTCAGTAAAGTTACAAGGCACAGTAAAAAGCAAAAACATAGTTTTGAATACTGAATAAACATCAAAACCAGACAGAAAGGGCAGTAATGTTAGCATTATCAGAACAGGATTTTATTTATTTATTTTTTGGTATTGGGGATTGAATTCACGAACTCACACTTGCCAGCAGGCACTTATGCCGCTGACCTAAACCCCCAGCCCAGGAATTTTTTAAATCTCTGATACTATGGGAAATCTTAATATACTAAGAGACTTAATAGAAAAAGTATACAACACACAAGAAGTGGCTGATTGTATAGAGAGTGATAGGAAGTTTAAAACATAAAAATAAGGCCAGGGATTTGGCTCAGTGGCATCAGCGCCTGCCTGGCAAGTGCAAGGTTGTGAGTTCAATCCCTGGTACCACACACACACACACACACACACAAACATAAAAATAAAGCGCTAGGAACCAGAGATGTTGTAACAGAAATGAAGAATGTCCTTTGATGGGCTCATTAGTAGGTTGGACATGGCTGAGGAAAAAACCTCTAAGCTTGGTAATAAGACAATAGAAATTTCCAAAACTGAACCACAAATAAATGGTGGCGGAGGAGGGGGGAGGAGAAAAGCAAGTTTAAGAATTGTAGGGCAACTACAAAAAGTATAAATACACAAATGGGAATACATGAAAGAGGGAAAACAATATAAACAATACCAGATGTAATGACAGAATTTTGCACAATAATGTCA